CCTCTTATCACTCCCCAAATCATGTTGCCCGATCAAACCAAGGAAAACATCCAACGGGGGACCCATCGCCTACAACGGTTGACCGAAATAGACGGTGGCACCCAAGGCGACAATACTCTCAACCGCGACGACAACCCGAGTCCGTTTCACCATGACAAGTCAACGACGACGAATATCGCCCGCCCCACTTCAACAATCTCTACCAAAGGGAACCAAGAGAGGAGTCCACGCCCGACACCCAACAGGATTTCGGCATCAAAACAAATCTACTAGAGTTTGATGGAAGCATGGACCACGACGACTTCATAGATTGGTTGCAAGTGCACAAAAACATCTTTGACTACAAGGAGGTGCCCAAGGATAAGCGAGTGAAACTTACCGCTATCAAAACTAAAGAAAAATGCTTCGTTATGGCGGGGCAACCTACAACAACAACAACAACGAGACAAGAATGACAAGAACACCATGTGGACAAAAATGAAGAAAGCTATGAAAGAAAAAAATCATGCCACCCCACAATGGTTAGGATATGTTCCTCCGACTCCACAACCTGCAACAATGTGACCTGTCAGTCAAGGAATTCACGACAAAGTTTGACTATCTACAGATGAAGTGTGACCTGGTCGAGCAAGAGGATAACACGATCGCTCGTTATCACGAAGGTTTAAAGCCAACCATTAGCAACATTGTCCAACTCCAACCCTACTAGACGCTAAGTGATGTCTAGACCCTCGCACTAAAAGTAAAACAACATCAAAAGCAGGCCAGGTTAAAAACCTCCTTCCAACAACAGTCGACTTTCAAGCCATCGCCTACAGCCACGCCTACCGACAAGACCACTTCGGGAGCTGGCAAGTCACTCCCAGGAGGCATGAAACTCAAAAAGGGAAGTTTCTCCAGAACAGTTCCTGCACGGAAGTATTTTAGTTGCCATGGTTATGGTCACATCGTTGTCAATTGCCCAACCACCCGCATTGTCTCATTCACCAAAGAAAGCATCGTCGAGGAAGTCGAGGAAGCCCAATCAGAGGATAGTTCAGAAGTAGCACTTCCCCTCCTTGGAGACAAAGGCAAACAGTTGGTGATACGAAGGGTCCCACAGTCAGAACTTGAAAAAGACCCATCATGGTTGTGACAACATCCTTCTTACAACATGCACAATCAAGGGCAAAATCTGCGGTTTAATCATCGATGGCGGTAGTTGCAAAAATGTTATGGCCACCATAATGGTTAAGAAGTTAAGTTTAGCCGCACAAAAACATCTGCGATCCTAGTCTCACCTGGCTGAAAAAATGGAACTAGGTTCACGCCGATCATCAATGCTTAGTCAAACCCTCCATCAACAATCAACTACAAGAGCATGTTTGGTGTGATGTGGTCCTAATGAACGTATGTCACATTCTTCTAGGGAGGTTGTGGTAGTTTGACCGAGAAATGTCGCACGACAGTTTCAAGAACACCTACACGTTTAAGAATGATGGGAGCGCACCATGTTGTTACACATAAAAGATATGAAAAAGCAGAATCGACATAGAAGAGGCGTTAATCTCACAAACCACCTTCTTGCAATTAGTTTGAGAAGCCAAGTAGCATGAGCCTTAGTTTTTCTCGAAGGAACTGATATCGAAAGAAAAATCCCAACACTATTACGACCACTACTCCAGGACTTCTAGGTTGTGATGGCCAACACTCTCCTAGAAGGATTACCACTACTAAGGGACATCAAACACGCCATAGACCTTGTTTCCAAATCGGCCCGCTTATCGATTGAGACCCACAGAGTATGAGGTGCTACAACAACAAGTGCGGGACCTTCTTACGAGAGAGTAATAGTCTGTGTACTATCCCCGCCCTTATGGTTCCCAAGGACGATACATGAATGTGCATCGATAGCCGGGCCATAAACAAAATTACCATTAAGTACTGATTTCCCATGCAATGCCTAGATAATCTCTTGAATCAATTAAATGGAGCCACTATCTTCTCCAAGATCGACCTACGTAATGGGTACCACCAGATATGAATAAGGTCGGGGGATGAGTGGAAGACCGTGTTCAAGGCACGAGATGATCTATACGGATGGCCAGTCATGCCCTTCGGCTTGTCCAATGCACCCAACATGTTTATTCGTTTAATGAATCAAGTGTTTTGGGCCCATATTGGAAAATTTGTGGTAGTCTACTTTGACGACATCCTGATAATCAATTGGAGGAGAAACACTTACACATCTTAGAACTGTATTCTAGGTTCTACGGGCTGAACAACTGGACGACCATAAAAAAATGCCACTTCATGACTAACGAAGTATGTTTTTAGGCTATATCGTGTCTAATATAGGCATTCAAATAGACCCAACAAAGATTGAGGCGATCGAAAGCTGGCTCACACCGCAATCTTTCACCAAGCTAAAACAATTCTCGGGCTAGTCTCCTTCTATCGAAAATTCGTTGGGAAATTCGGCACAATCACCACCCCGTTGAAGAGCTTCTGAAAGGAAAAGAATTCACTTGGACAACCACCGCTCAGGCCAGCTTCAACATGCTCAAGGAGAAGGTGGATTTAGGCACCGATCCTCGCATTACCATTCATTTGTTGACGTCATTTTCGGATGAGGTTTTCACTTCTCTCCTTAGAGCCTAAGGTTTAGCTTCAGGCTTCTCTTGTTTGACCATCCTAGAGGACTAGTACGGAACTCACACCATTTAGAAAATTTGAGTCACCTCGTCACTCTTTCGAGTTTCGCATGGGCGGTCCCAAATCCTCGACATTCTGTTGAGTTGATTATGATCGACACATGAAACTCGAGTCGAGTTCCTACATTAATATGAGCAGCCCCTAG